ACAAAAGTTCAGATTGTGTCTGTGAGTTTAGGGTGTTTAATAACATTGCATTATCTGCTTGAGTTATTCTTCTATTTTGTATATGAGAAGGCTGTGTTTGATATTCATGCTATTTTAAGTCACTAAAACAGCTTTATACTCATCTTTTAGCGCGTTCAGTGATTCATACAATTGTTAACTTTTTAGTAGCCTGAAGCACCATGTACTGTGAGACAGGAATGACTTGTGTTTCCATGGAAACAGTCATTGTGCCCAGTGTCTGCTGAGGTCTCAGTGCTGCATATTTTTAACCTTGTCTCAGCGGAGGTTTTGTATCTTTCTGCTGCTACATTATGTAGGGACATCCCATGCATGCAGCAACAATCGTTTTATATAATGGAGATGGGTGGGGATTATCACATTGGAAAATGATGAACTTGGGGACAGATCCGACGGTACTGTAAGGAACCATTGAGCTGTCTGTAGCCTAATAAGCTGGAACCCTTCCTTACAAACAACAGTGTGATGGTCATATTAATAAAATGTCTAGTATAAAATCAGTGTCAGTTCTGTGCAATCAGGAATTTGATAGCTAACATATAACACAATTTCATTTTTACAGTTCTGGTGGGTTCACATTGTTGCAGAGAAAAGCATTCCATTTTTCTTTGTGGGAAGTGATCACGCTAGGCAAGATTTGGGGGGCGTTGTCTTGCAGTTTTATAATGCAAAGCACAGCTTCCCTCCTTTTTTTTTTTTCTTAAAGTGATACTAAACCGACAACAGTAAAATCAGTCTGTATATGCAGTAAAGCATGCTTGTTATACTCACTGTGGATCCTAAGGGGTTAATCCTCTGCATTGTGTAAAAAGGCTGTTTGATCCTGTCTTCCGTGTTCCTCTCCTTTTTCAAGTAACCACCTCTTATCTCCAGACTGAACCGTAGGCATGGACATGATCAGTTTGGTGTGTATTGCTAGAGAGTTTTTTTTTTCTTGGAAGAGTGCATGTGATCAGCACAGGGCCAATCAGCACTGGTCAGACAGAGGTCAGGGATTTTGCATTCTCCTAGAGCAGAAAGAAAACTCCTCCTACAAGCTTTAGCTAGTGCTCTGCTGACCACTGATAGAATCCACAAGACTGCTCTGACTGCTGATGAGAAAAAAAAAAACGTATTTAGTAGTTTATATTTACTAAAATAATTGTATTTCCATATTGTGTGTATTGTGGGAGACCAGATATAGTAAATGCAGGGTCCTGGGTTTAGTAACACTTTAACTTCAGAGGAATGTCACAAAGTAAAATTTCATTAATTTCTATGCTCCGCAAGTAAGGTGACACCAAGAGCTGCGCAGTGGTGCAGAAAAATGCAGACATGTTGGAGTTTTCAGCACCACTCCATCCTGCAGCTGAGATCTGTGTGTAAGTGTAAAAGGACAAACTGAAAACCGTTTTCTTCTTTTGCAGAAAAACTCAGCTCTCTGCACAAGTGTGAATTGGCCCTTGGTGAATTTTTGCATTTCATAAGTACTCTCTTCCTACCCATACCTCTAAGTATATGAGAGATTTCTGTCCAGCAGCTGCATTGTCATGCAAGACAATTAAACAGGCCAGCTGTTGGTGTTCAGCAGGACATCAGTGTTCCTGTCATTGTGCCATGGCTCTTTACTCTACCATCAGGGTAATTAAAAATCGATGATTTAAAAAAAAAAAAACAGATTTTTTTTTATTTTAAATCAGATTTTTTTTTATAAAATGCTTTTGGAGAAAAAATCTATCTAAACATAGTTTTCTATTTAGGATACATTAATAATTTAGTTTATTCAGCATGAAATGGAGCTTAGTTATGTAACATGAGGCTGTATATTCTGCAATATTTACATTTTTGAAAAACTCATTCAATGAATCCAACTCTGCAAGCTGAGATAACATGCACTGTATTGATGCATTCACACAATTTCACAGTAACCATGAGAAAAAACATGAAATAAAAGAATTTGAGTAGTTCTCCAGCTATGAGTGATTGACCTATTAAACTAAAGTCGGTTCTGATATTGCTGTTTTACTAACTTGACAGTTTATTATTCTAAAAAGGAAACCTTCATTTGGTTTGCAAATATTAAAGATTCTAACTACCAGCAAGAATCGGATTCCTTACATTTAAAGAGCACCTGTCTTTTTAGATCCATCACAGCAGCACCTGTTAGCGGGCATCCACTTACATGCTGCCGCCACGTCCCTCACCTTGTGTCACTGCCGCATCATCAGCCTTCCCATTAAAGGGAATGGAACTGTCGGTGAGTCAACAGAGGGTCAGAGGAGGAGCCGCTGTAGGACAGAGATGATAGTTGCTCTTTAAAAATTATGATTTAAATTGAGCCTTTTCACTACTGATTTAAATCAAATCCACCCTGTCTACCATCATGGTGCAGTAGTACTCTTCCCCATTCGCCCATATAGGTTATATTCACATGGGTGATCAGCACACCCTGCAAATTCCAGCAGCAAGAATCTGCATATTCCTGCATCTGGAATGACAGATGTGTGTGCAAAGAGCTGATCAGCTCATACAATGTAATGCAATGCTAATAGCAGCCGTAGCTATCTGTGAATATTTGCACAACCAGTGATCACCTGCCATTAGCCTGCCATTAGAGACATGTGGTCCTGGCTGGACACACTCTGAGAGGATCCAGCCACAATCACCGCAGAAAGACACTGGTTGCATGTACAGACATTGATAGCTGCAGCTGCTGTTAACCTGTTGCATTGTATAGGCTGGGCGGCTGCAGCTCTTTGCACACCTGTCATTCATTGCAATTGGATGCCGTGCCCACGTTTCCGCACAATAAAGGTGCATGCGGTTTTCCTGCAGTACCGGCAATTGCGCTGCGGGCTGAGATGCGTGGGGTTCCATTCAGAATGAATGGCAGATATTAGTTGTATACACATAGACCAATGGTTCTCAGTCCTTTTGATATGTAACCTGTATGCTCATCCCATCTTTAGCCTGTGAGTACCCAGTGATCATTGGTTTTCCTCTTTTTATTATGGTTTTGTTTTAATGGCTCTGGCCACTCTTTTTATATGTCTGTGATTTGTACTTTATTTCATGCTGGGACAGGGGACAATACTTATTTCATACTTTTTCGAATGGCCTATATCTGGTTACAACTTGATTGCTCATTCAGAGCCCAGTGGTCGTGTGCAGAGATTTAGCTCCTGCACGACAGCTGGGCTTTCAGGTACTAATGGCACCTTTCCCTGCAGCCCATTGCAGCGTGCGGTTCCTGGAACGGTGCTCGAGCTTATTGACACAGAACCTCTAACTTTGTAAATTGTATTGTTATCTCTGTCTGAGTATCTGTACTGTTTTTGTGATTTTAAAAAAATAAACAGAGATTATACAAAAAAAAGAATGGCAGCCCCACATGTCTTGTAAGGGGAACGCTATTCGGCTGCGGGTGTTTGCGGGAACAGATGCGATTCCTGCACCCACAAGCAGCCTGCATAGTAAGAACTGAGGGTCAGGGTTATAGAGAGAACAAATGACCAAATTAAAACTCAAACACCGCATTTCAGTTAAAAAATCAACAGGGTGAGTTGGTACCCTTCAAAATGGCCATAGCAGTTATGCAGGCCCTGGAAGTCAGAGCGGGAATCTCACCAACAGAGTCCCTCAGAGATGTGAGGAACTCTCTTATTTTCAGTCTTGCACAGTTGTTCAAGCCCCTCTGCTGGACTCATATTGCTTACTCTGATTTCCCAGCACATAGTGAGCTCCTCATAGTGTGCACTAGAAGCTGCAGGAAGTCAGACAAAGCCCAAATTATATCCTGGCTGTTGGACAACCAGCATCATCTAGCTCAGGGGTGCTCAACCTCAAACCAGGGAAGCACATGCCCACGCTCTGAGATGGTGGGTCAGCAAGCCCAGATCACAATCAATGAGTTGCCAACCCACCATCCCCGATCATCTGAGTGCATGGAGCTGGCGCTGATAGCAAAGGAAACAGGCTGCTGTGGAGGGAGCAGGAGCCGCATAAGTCAGTGCTTCCTCTGTAGCTCCTGTCCCAGGCGGAGTGATACCAAGTGCACTTCACCTTGGACCTTTCTAGTAGCCTGGAAAGCAATGCCAGCAGAAGCTAGAAGAGAAAAAGGTCATTGTATTAAACATCATATACACTGCACTTTTGCAATAGACATATCACCTATAAAAGAGTTAACAACTATTAGGCTAAGTTCACACCTATGCAGTTTGCGTTTGATCCGTTTCTGCATTTTGTTTTGCGTTGCATTTTTTTGTTTTTGCACCTGCTCTTTTGACGTGTTTTTGATGCGTTTTGCATTTTTTTTGTGCCAAAAACACATAAAAAAACACAGCAAAAATGCACTACATGCTTTTTTGCAGCATTTCCATTGAAGTCTGTACAAGTCTGTAGACCCTTTCCAAAAACGCACCAGGTGAAAACGTGGAGATGTGAACATGTCCCATAGGAAATCAAGTTAAATGGACTGTAGTGCGTTTCTGCAAAACATAAAACGCTGCGGAAACCGCTTAGGTGTGAACCTAGGGTAAGTCTGTTTGCACACTGATCCGCAGGCGCAGCGCAATTCATCTGCAGCTTTCTTGCAGGTTAGCTGCACCAAGCCATAGACTTCTATTATATCCTGTGGGTTTGGAGCACCACACCTGCAAGATATAATAAAAGTCTGTGGTCTATACCTCGTACAGGCAGGCAGTTACACAATGACAGGAAAAATCAATGACCTACCTAAAGCTCTCAGTGGAACAGCGGAGAGGCTGCAGGAGTGGGAACATATTACATGTTCCACCCTAAAAACAGGTAACATGTTCCCAAAGATGAACTTATCCATTAGGCTTCAACTTTAAAAGGATAGAAGAATTTTCTGTAACATTTAGCAGGACAATGACTATATCCTATTACTATGCCCTCCTTTTATGAATAGAAGTAGATTTAGCTGTATTTGAATTGTGACTTATTGATTCTTTGTTTTATAGCCTGCAAGCAATATTTACATAAATACCCAGGAGATCAAGAGCTGCTGTGGGAAGTGGAAGGTGTAGGTCACTGGTTCCAAAGAACCCTTATTTCCCATATACTCAAGAGAGATACTGTAGGATTATCGGGTAAGTTATGTAAGTAGTGTATCAATTACATTTATGATTTATCGTTACTATAAACTTTATTCTAAGCTCTCATGACCTTTTCTGTATTATCACAATTAATGTGGAATGCGATACTGTCATTTCTCAAAAATTATAAGTTAGTTGGTGTTTTATATAGTCAGCAATAACAGGTTAGGAAAAAATCAATTTGCTCTTAGGGCAAGGAGATTGATTATTTAATTTTCAGCAATCAACAGTGGGCTTCTGCACAGTTACTTGGCCCTGTGCATTATATTAATTAAATAGTAGGGGATGCTTGGAACAGACTTCCAGCAGAGGTTGTGAGTTAATCAACTGCTAGTGGCTAAGGCAGGCCATAGATGATCCAATTTTCTTTCCTCCCATCATGGGGGGAGTCTCTCCCAGCGCTATTGTGTTCTGCTGGTGGAGGACGGGGGAGCCTTCCCTGATTGCAGAATACAATGATTACTGCTAGCAGCTACAGGTATGGAGGAGCACTCATTACCTGTCAAATGGAAGTACATAGTCCTGTGTAAGCTTTGGCTGTGGCAATTTGTTGCTTATACAAGACATTTCTTCATTTCCAGGAGCTGATATGAGTGGCAAGAGTGAAAGGAAGATAAGTATACACTGCTGGGGATAGCTATGAATAGATATATAGTAACTTAAAGTGTACCTATTGTTTGCCCTATGTGGGAAAAGCAACAGGTTCACTTTAATAAGGCCATAGAGTACTATACAATGGTCAGGTTGTATTCCATCTTTCTAAATACCTCTTGTTTTAGCATGAATACTTTTGATCATTTAACATGCAGAGAAAAACATCATGTTAGCGATGTGCTCTAAAACTGGTACCTGAGAAAACTGTGCCTTTTGCAGAACTTATTTTTATTTAAATGCAGCCTATAGTTGCCTAAGGTCCTTGGATGATGCATGACAGTCTACAGCCAATTCTGCGTGTGTATGTGTTTAAAAATACTGCCGCCATTAGCCATGGTACCATTCATTTCTGTAACCTAAACCAGGTGTACATACCTATTCCATTAATATTGCTGTAGATTATATTATCCTGTAGATTCCATACAGTTCAGACTGTCCTGCCCTAAACCTCTGAATTTATATTCCTGAATCATTTTAGCTAACCCAAAAGCAAGGTAGTAAAATGTTCACAGGTTATCAGATACAAGGTGGAAAAGCTTCCAAGTTTATAACATTCTTTAGCTTAACCACCTTCCGCCCGCCCTATAGTACAATGACGGGCGCAAAGTGGTTCTGTCGTTCCGATAGGACGTCATATGATGTCCTATCATTCTCACGCGCAGGTGCGGCTCAGGGAGCGTGTAGCGCAGCGATCACCGGTGCACTGTGTCCCTCGGACAGAGCGGATCACGGAAAGAGCCGAAGTTGTGGGCTCGGTCATGTGATCAGCTGTGTCCAATCACAGCTGATCACATGTAAACACGGAAATGCCGGTTATCAGCATTTCTCTGCTCTCGAGCTGTCACGCTGACAGCTCCAGATAAGAGGAGAGCCGGTAATCGGCTTTACACACAGAGGGGACATGTACACTGATCATCAGGGCACTGATGATCAGTGTGCCCTGATGATCAGTGTGGCCCCAGAAGTGCCACCTGTCAGTGCCCATCAGTGCCACATCAATGCCACATATCAGTGCATACCAGTGCACATCAATGCCACATATCAGTGCCCATCTGAGCTGCCTGTCAATGTCACCCATCAGTGCCAGTCAGTGCCACCTATCAATGCCAATCAGTGCCACCTATCAGTGCCAGTCAGTGTCGCCTATCAGTGCACATCAGCGCCAGTCAGTGCCGCCTAACAGTGCCAATCAGTGCCGCAGTCCGCCTATCAGTGCCACCTATCAGTGCCATATATCAGTGCCATATATCAGTGTCATGTATCAGTGCTGCCTTTCAGTGCCCATCAGTGATGCCTGTCAATGCCCATCAGTGCAACCTACCAGTGCCTCCTCATCAGTGCCACTTATCAGTGCCCATTACTGCAGCCTCATTAGCGCACATCAGTGAAGGAGAAAAATCACTTATTTACAAAATTGTATAACAAAAACTAAGAAAACTTTTTTTTTTTTTCAAAATTTTCAGTGGTTTTTGGTTTGTTTAGGAAAAAAAAAAAATCCCAGAGTGATTAAATACCACCAAAAGAAAGCTCTATCTGTCACAAAAAAATGATAAAAATTACATATGGGTACAGTGTTGCATGACCGCGCAATTGTCATTCAAAGTGTGACAGCGCTGAAAGCTGGAAATTGGCCTGGGCAGGAAGGGGGTATAAGTGCCCTGTAGGCTAGTGGTTAAAGGATGTTTTTTGTCCCTGAACAGATGTTTCGTTGTTAATTGGATGACTTATTTGTACAGTCCACACTGGCTGTTGATCCCTTTCTAGGACACCAGCAGCCCCATACCAACCCACCACCTCCACTGCCACCACCATGCCTATCACAGTGGGCAGGGCAACTATTTGCTACCAATACTCAACTTCCCTTGCTGCTTTTTTTTACCTGAGTTAGCAATTTAATACCATGAGGCCAGCAATAGCCAGGTAACATGCATTATGAGAGAGAGCCATCAGTGGAAATGTTCTTATTGCTTTCATGACAGTGCATAGCAGCACACACTGCTAGGATTTTTCTGGTTATGTGCAGTAATCTTTATTGTATGTATATAACAGTCCCAGATCCAGAAACTGCCAAACAAGAGCTGATCTCTCAGTGTACAGAAAAGTCCTCATCTGAGCCTCCTGCAGAATCTCAGCCTCAGAATACCCAACAATCAGATCCTGAATGGGCAGAAACTGAAAAAAGAGAAGATACTAAGGAAACACAGGTAGGACTATGGGATTCCAATACTTTGATGGTTTGGTTTATCTTCTACATGTAATACTTTTCAGTCAATCAGTGTTGTGATCAAAGTACATAGAGTTAAAACCTATGCCTTATCACTTCACCTATTCCAGTAGTATGTGCCTGGAGAATCACAACCAGTTCCACATCTAGAAAGCCTTGATTGAGCAAGTGCTACAATACAACTGACCTATGGCTGTTACTAGAACCTCCTATATACAGTAGATATACACTCACCAGCCACTTTATTAGGTACACCTTGCTACACTGGGTTGGACCCTCTTTTGCCTTCAGAACTGCCTTAATTCTTTGTGGCATCAAAGGTGTTGGAAACATTCCTCAGAGATTTTTGTCCATATTGACATCACTGCAAATTTGTTGGCTGCACATCCATGATGCAAATCTCACGTTCCACCACATCCCAAAGGTGCTCTATTGGATTGAGATCTGGTGACTGTGGTAATAAAGGGATGGACGTGGTCAGCAACAGTACTCAGGTACTCAGGTAGGCCATGGCATTTAAATGATGCTCAGTTTTTATTCTTATTCCCGCAGACCTAATTCTGTTTTTTCTGTTTTGGAATTAATTATTGTTACTGTCTTTGCTGACAGCTTTTGCCTTGCTATATAGATTTTATAAAACCTCAATAAATACAGATTGACCATAAACGATGCTCAGTTGGTACTAATTGGCCCAAAGTATGCCAAGAAAATATCTCCCACACCATTACACCACCAGCATGAACCATTGATACAAGGCAGGACAGATCCATGCTTTCATGTTGTTTATGCAAAATTCTGACACTACCATCTGAATGTTGCAGCTGAAATTGAGACCCATCAGACCAGGCAATTTTTTTTCTATCTTCTGTTGTCAATTTTGGTGAGCCTGTGCGAATTGCAGCCTCTGTTTCCTGTTCTTAGCTGACAGGAATGAAACCTGGTGTGGTCTTCTGCTGCAGTAGCCCATCTGCTTCAAAGTTCAACGTGTTGTGCATTTAGAGATGGTATTTTGCATACCTTGGTTGTAACAAGTGTTTTTTTGAGTTACTGTTGACTTTATATCATCTCAAACCAGTGTGCCCATTCTCCTCTGACATCAGCAAGGCATTTTCATCCACACAACTGCCACTTACTGGATATTTTCTCTTTTATGGACCATTCTCTGTAAACTCTAGAGATGGTTGTGTGTGAAAATCCCAGTAGATCAGCAGTTTTTGAAATACTCAGACCAGCCTGTCTGGCACCAAAAACTATGCCACAGTCAAAATCACTTAAATCCCCTTTCTCCCCCCATTCTGATGCTTGGTTTGAACTTCAGCAAGTCGTGTTCACAACATGCATTGAGTTGCTTCCATGTGATTGGCTGATTAGCAATTTGTGTTGCCAAACAATTAAACAGGTGTACCTAATAAAGAGGCCGGTCAGTGTATATACCACTCCATATTGAGGAATACAATGGTGATGACATTTTTATCAAAGCGACCATTTATAATTGACATGAAGACACTTTCTTGCCTTGGTTTATGTGGATTACTAAAATTACACGATGTAATCATACATATCGAAGAAAACAATGAGCTTTATGTAATACCATTTGATATCGCTTGTTCAAAGTAATAACAGCCAATAAGAAATCAGCTTTTGTTAAACTAAGCTTACAGTGATCTGTACAGTTTTTTTTAATTTGTCTGATTAATATTGCCCCTGAAAGTGGTTGACTAGTAGTCTTACTGCGCAGAATGAAGCCAAAGGGAAGATTGCATTCTGTGTTTACTAAAAACTTCTTTTCTTTATTCCAGATTAGCACGATAGCAATAAAAATAAAGTTTAAAGCTCCATGCACACTGGCTTAAAAAAAAAATGATGCTCCCAGAGGAGTTTAGTGATTTGCCTGTAGAAGCAACTAATGTTATCCTGTGTCCGTGCACATCAGGTAGTCTAGAGGCATATTTTATGCTCAGCTTTTAGAAACAGGAAAAAAACTCTCCTGTTTTGCATTTTTTTAGAGCATTTTTAGTGTTTTACTTACCAAGAGCACTGGCGGTTTTTTAAGCTAGTGTGTGTGGACTCTTATCTTGTATCCTGTGCTAATATGAAAGTAAGATTTTTTTTTTTTAGCGGAGATGTCAGTATGTAATCTTTAACTTTGTTTGGATGTTGTGGAGGCTGGGAACAATTCTGCACCTAGGTTCTGCTGGGTCTGCATCTAGATGTCTTGACTGACCTGCAGCAGAATTTATATCATATATATGTCTTCCCCTTCCGGTCAGATTGGCCATTTGTCTCCTCATGTCTGTGGACTGCTTAACATGTATGGTCTTCCAATAATCTGTTTTATCTAAACTGCATTCAAACCCAAGAGCAAAAATGTAATACAATGCAGCTAACAGTCCTTAGATGTGGCGTTTTCATTAGCATCTTGTTTCAGGCTTTTTTCTTTATTTGCACCTGGTGGTTCTGTCAGAAACTCACTTGCTTTCCAAGGGTGATGACGCTCACTTACTGTACAGTATTTGTTGAAGAGCAGTTTTGTTATTCTAGGCTGCTCTCCTGATTTGAACTACAAACCCATTCCAATTCTCATTTTCATAACATTTTGAGAGGTATTCTGTAGTTAACGGGAAATAACTATGCAAATCCAGGGTGGATTTGATTTAAATCAAGTTGATTTAAATCACAATTTAAATCATGATTTCACTCACTAGTGAAAAGGCTCGATTTAAATTATAATTTTTAAGGAGCAACTGTTATCTGTGTCCCGCAGTGGCTCCTCCTCTGACCTGCCGTTGACTCACTGACCGTTCCATTCACTTTAATTAGACGGCTGCTGATGTGGCAGTGACACAACAAGGTGAGAGAGCAGGTGAGTGGATGCCTGCTACGAGGTGCTGCCATGATGGATCTAAAATGACAGGTGCTCTTTAAATGTAAGGAATCCAATTCATTCTTGCTGTTAGTTAGAATCTTTAATATTTGCAAACCAAATGAAGGTTTCCTTTTTAGAATAATAAGCTGTCAGGTTAGTAAAACAGCGATATCAGAACCGATTTTAGGTTAATAGGTTAATCACACATAGCTGGAGAACTACTCTTTTATTTCATGTTTTTTCTTATGGTTACTGTGAAATTGTGTGAATGCATCAATGCAATGCATGTTATCTCAGTTTGCAGAACTTGGATTCTTTGAATGCGTTTACTAGAAATATAAATATTGCAGAATATACAGCCTCATGCTACATAACTAAGCTCCATTTCATGCTGAATAAACTAAATTATTAATGTATCTTAAATAGAAAACTATCTTTAGATATATTTTTACTCCAAAAGCATTTAATTAAAATAAATTTGATAAAAATCTAAAAAATTCGATATAAATAAAAAAAATCCAATTTATTTTTTTTATTTTTTTTAAAAAATCATTATTTGTATCCACCCTAAAATGTTGGTTCATTGCACAGGATACAACCACCACATCTACAGCCTGGTGACCGGCAACATATTCATTTTTTTTGCTCTTGGGATAAGATATTTTAACTAAACTCATTTTTTAGGTCCGTTTTAAATATAATTTGGTATTTCCCAGTACTTTAAATGGAAGTGGAAGCACCCCCTAGGTACTTCCACTTCCATGTACCTCTGATTGAAAAGTTAGGTAGTACAGCATTCCCCTTTGCACTGTGCTAATAAATAAATTCTATTGTGCTTTTGTTTCTAATAGCAGGGGGGGGGTTCACTGCATAGGCAAAAAGAAAACAAAAAGTTCACACCTTACTGCTTTTCCAGTTTGTAATAATATGCTGGTTCTGTTTTATGCACATACTTTGAAAATATAGTAGACTTAGCAAGCTGAATATCTTTCAATGTTTCTTTTTTCAGGCAGAAACAGAGGAAGAGAAAGATATTCAAAAAGATGATGATATTTCTTCTAAGGGTAAGAAGTGTCATTGTTTAAATTGTTGCCAGGGACTCATGTAGCGACTGTGCATGTGGTTAATACATTGAAATTTTGTCATGGCCAGAATCATCACATTCATTTTTACTTTAGTATTGAGCACCTAACTTATTTTCTAGAGTGTAATAGACTGATAAATAAAAATACTTACATCAGACACCAAAATGTGAGAAGAGAAAGAGTCACCAACACTTCAATAAAGATGAAGAATTAGCGTTTTATTTGCATTGCATCACATCGGTCATATATTGACAACGTTTTGGGGTCTTTCAGGGTCCCTTTCTCAAGACCACACATTTATTGCCTTGCGAAAGGTACCCTGTGAGTACTGGCTACATTACCGAACATAAATAAAATAACTGATAAACCAATAAAAACATGCTAATTCCCCTTTATTTGAGTGCTGGTGACTTTCTCTTCTGTAGTATTGCACAGCACCATCCGTTGTTGTTACTACGAGAGCTATCTAGCTACACTGGTCACAACGCTGTATGGCGTACAGCCCAGAACTGTACTGTTCTATTTTTCAGAATTGTGACACATTTTACTGTATATTTATGAAAATTTGCATTTCCCAGAAAAATAAATGAAGCATGGATTGCAGGTCATTATTAGGCTAGGCTATTTGAGATCAGTATGATAGAGTATAGTACACTATTGGACCTATTGTGCAGTTGCTGGGTAATAATGCTCTTTATTCATAAAGATAATACTTATTGTTGTAAATTATTAAAGCTTCCTAGTATGAACATTATAGCCCATTCACTCGGGGCACAGAAAGGTTTCAGGTACAGGACCCACATCCGCACACACCCACATGTTATATTAGAACACAGCAGCTGTGCCTGTGCAGTCACACGTCCCAATAGAAATTAATGGGGCAGTGGCACAGGAATGCACAAAAGAGCTGTGCATCCCTGTGCTGGTAAAAGACAGCTCTACATGGGAGATGCATGTCTGTGCCCCGTGTGAAAGAGCCCTTAGAATTTATACCCTAGGAGCAGAATGCACATAGAAACGTAGTGTAACAGTTCTTTGAGGAATTTAGGCCAGTAAACAGTATGATTCCATTTTCCAGAACCTGATGAGACTCCCGTCTCTACTCGCACTAGAAGTAGCCAGCTGAAACGGCCAAAGATTGGAAAGAAATTAGAAGATGCTGAACCAGAAAGAGTGACCGATGATACCAGGATTGATAGTTCACCTAAACAGTAATGGTTGTTTTGCATTTATTCAATGTATTGTGGTAAATGAGTTTGGGTTTTTAAATCAGAGAAATAATCTATTTCTTTGTAATTTTTTTTAAAGACTGTATAAATACAAAACTTAGTTTTTTTAGTTTGAAACCCTTATTAAGATTTTTTTTTTTTGCTCTCAGTGTCCGTTCTGCAGAGATTCACCCTATGCGTTCTGGCAGTCATTAGTACCAGGATGGAAAGGGAATGGAAAGGGAATTGGAAGCAGGAGGTGATGTTGACCCTTCTAATAGGAACATCTGTTCAGCGACAACTAATAGTGTAATTCCCTTCATTTTGTAGAGGTGTATTATCACTTTTACATCTCCGGGCCTATCGCAGCCATCTGAGCAGCATGGGGGAGAGGCAGCTACCTAGGAATTTTTTAGGCAAGCTTGGGAGAAGCCCAGCATGACCTACAGGTATGCCATGGGCAACAAGCTGCTTTTGCACAGTCTGAATAGTGTTTTTTTTTTTTTTTATTTTAGTTGGGGCCTGAACTATCAAATAAAGTCAACTCAGAATATTTGTTAATGAAAGTCCACAATATTTTTCCAGATCAAAGTTAGTTACGGTGTATTGATTTCCTTTACAGAATGGAATCTAAGGAGCAGATAGTGGAGAATTTTAAGGAGCTGATCCAGCAGCTCGCGGAAGACAAAGATGAAACTGACATGGCCAAACTTCAGGAAGAGATCTCGTCTAAACCTGTGCAACAGGTGTTACATGACAGTATAGAAGTACAGAAAGAACTGGAGGAGAATGTTGAAAAGAGAGAGGTGCAGTAGTATACAAATTAATAAAACTTTATCATACAAAGAACCTTAATGTGACTGTCAATTGCTTAATAAAACTGAAAGGTATAGAAGAGCTGATATACTTACAGTACCTCCCCAGCACCCCATGTCTCTTACTGTCACTCAGTTCAAGCCCTGCAACTTCCGTCAGAGACTTCAGCTGCATGCTGTGGTTCCTTTCTCTGACTCCTATGTCACTGCTTTGTTCTGTAGTGACATGACTAAACCTGAAGCAGCCAAATCCTGTGTAAGCTCCTAGTATGGTGTGGAAGCTTACACAGAGTTGATAACATTGTCCTCATATGACAGAGCTTGGACTTTGGCCACTTAGGCCTGGGCACTGCATTCTGGGAAGAGATCACATGGTCAACAAATGCTGAAGCCCCAGGTATTTTATGTGGGCTCCAAAGGCATGCATTTGTATTGGTGAGCTTTTAAGAGACACTGTCACTTTGCCAATTTAGAATCTCCGTAATGATCCATTAGTAGGCTTGTCTGATTACATTTGCAGGTATATCTATGTAAAACATAAAAAATAAGTGCCTATACTGTTTAAAATCCAATAATACACTGTCTCACAATGCTCTGCACATACACAGTTGCTCTCCATTTTAGGCACTGTGCTGAATTTGTAGAGGCTGATCTGCTTACAGTCTAAATCTTAAAGCAAAACTAACAGGAATGCTAATTTTCCCATTTTCTTGTGCTCCCCACTGTCAAACCATCAAATAACTGGTGTTATAGCTGATTATATGTACAGCTCCATGGCAGTTGCAGATCAAACAGATGGCACCTTCATTGGCTGAAAGGGATAGGGGGGTTTAGTTCTGCTTTAACTAATGCTCAGAGCTCTGGGCTCCAACAAAATGGCAACTTGCTGGAGGCAATTTACATTGCACACTAGTTTTGGTAGCTTAATTATTAATGTGGAATGTATGTTCCTTGCTAAAGAACATAATTTTTTTATTAATTGTTTTGTGTAAAGTTCCACTTTAATAAATACATTATCATTTAAAAATGGCAAGAATACAGTTTCATAAAGATACCATTTGAGCAAGAGCTCCCCCCATAGGACCATAAAATATAGAAGGGTAAGCGGTATAAACCAGAGGTAGGCAACCTTTTGAAAATAGTGTGGCAAATAATTTTATAAGAAATCAAGAGTGCCAGATGCAGTGCACACCACGATGAAAGGTGGGGGTGGCTACATCTGGCTGAATATTAGGCATGGAGTACAGTTATATATCATTTGAGCCAACTCACAGTATACACTGCACACATAGTCTTGTTAAGATAACAAACACTTTGGTCAGGAGTATGTAAAATACAGCACAGCATAAAGATTCCAGCAGTTAATTTCTACACCTTTAGACCTAAGCTCAACCACATAACCTTCACCTTTAAGACCTCAGATCAACCATATAAACTCTACCTTTCTACCTCAGATTAGTCCCATAACCTTCACTTTTAGACTTCTGATCAGGCACAAGCCCTTCACCTTCAGACCTCAGATCAGCCTCATAACCTTCACCTTTAGACTTTAGATCAGGCCCAAATTCTTCACCTTTAGACCTCGGATCAACCGCATATCCTTCAACTGTGGACTTCAAATCAACCCCATAACCTTCACATTTAGACCTCAGATCAGCCCCATAACCTTTGCCTTTAGACCTCAGGTCAGCCCCGCTCCATAACCATGACCTTTAGATCTCAGATCAACCCCGTAACCTTCACCTTTGGACCTCAGATCAGCCCTGTAACATTCACCTTTAGACTACAAATTAACCCCATAAACTTCACCTTTACACCTCACATCAGGCCCAACCATCTTTAGACCTCAGTTCAACCCCATAACCTTCACCTCTGGACCTCACATCAGCACCAGTACCTTCAGTTTTAGACCTCAGATCAGACACAAACCTTCATATTTTTAGCTCAGACCAGTCCTAATGCACTTATGCACCTCAGGCCTTAGACCAGCTCCATTGCATGCATGGACTTCTGACTTCAAATAAGCCTTATTTCAGCCACAACTCATAACCTTTAAACTTCAGCCCTAAACACTGTATGCTTGAAAACCGTTTCCAAATAATTTACTGCATTGTGGTTATTCATAATTCACTAACAAAACCAGTATTATAGCAACACAATTAAAACTTATTTCCCGTTCTTTGTCATTATAGATGAGGGTACCACTTTAGGCAGGAGTGTGAGGAGACATTAAAGTGCAGGGACAATGTTTACCTAGAAATCTGTTCTAACAGTTTTTAAACACTGCCCAGTCTGCCCTATCTAGATGAACCAATGTTGATGGTACAAGTGTGTAAAGATGCGCAGGCTTGTCGGTGGGCAGGTGAGTGGGCTTCCTGGTGGACAGACGAGCAAACAGATGTGTGGGTCCTGCAGCACGCTGATGTCCTTACTTAAGTCAGGAAGATGGGTGGGCCAGGCTTTGTAATTGAAAGCCTAGGAGCTATCAGTTATAGCCATTGCAGTCACACATGGCAGCCATTACATGTCGGCTCAGGCACTTGCGTCAGGAGTTGCTGACCCCTGGTATAACCAATAGGTAGTGAGAAGAGCAAGGTGTATATCAAGGTATGCATCTTGTATGTGATATTGACTAGGGGGGCATCAGTAGTGTGCTACACACACACACACAAAAAAAAAAACTTTGGGGAAGTACACTCTGTCCTCCCCTGTTGCTGTTTCCCCACCCACTATCCAGCAATTGCAGTTACTGTGTAAATACAGCAGCTGTAGAACTGTGTGATACAATGTTTATAAGCACTGTTCAGATGGGAGATAGAGAGACGCAAAGGAACATTTTTTACTTATGTGTCTACTCTGTTCTGTACTTATACATCTGTGGATCAAAGCTATGAGTTTCTATTTGTATATGATTTCAGGTAAAACAACCTGACAAGTAAAATATTTTTTTGATACAATTTGTTTGTATTAGTCCCTTATTAATCCTTAGTTTACCTAATTCTGATAAACTTCTGCTTTCCCTTCCCCCCTATTATTTTGCTGCTGAATCATTTTAAGCAGGGCATGTAATAGAATCAAATGTATCATTTTACCTACAGCAGTAACTTTATCTACAGTAACAATGTCACTGATCAAAGTAGAAAAAAAAGTACTTTTTTTGTTTTACATTTTTTTTTCTATAGATTGCTTAAAAAAATATACATTTTTGCAAGATCCACCTTGCAGTGATTCATGCACTGCAAGGGTTAAATGCTCGCTATATCTCGCAGGTCAACGCACAGGCAGTTTTACTAACCTTACATCCCTATGTTGGCCCTCCAGCACTCTCCTTCTCCACCTGAAGCTCTGATCTGTGGGTGGAGTTTTGGCATCATCACATAAAATTCAGGGATATTAACTAGTGCTGGGCTTGATGTTCAAGCCAAACGTGACTTCGACTTGAACGCTTGCACACCGCACCCCATAGTTCACTACGCCCTCACAGTGCATTCTTATTGGCCAAAGCAATGCACCTGACTACCGGTTGTGGCCAATCACAGCTCAGTTGGGCAGAACTAGCGGTGCCCGCCGAGCACTCACCACAATCTGACATTTACCAGGCCCTAAAGGGCCTTTAGTGCGTGGCTTTACCAGGCCCTAAAGGTCCAGGTATGGCTTTTAAGGCTAACCCCACACACTTTAAAAAAAAAAAAACCCATGCTAATTTTTTTTTTTTTTTTTTTATAAAAATGTCATTTTTAAAACAAAAAAAGGTCATTGTACAGCTGTGCAACTTTGCAGGTAGTTTAAGGGGACCCCCCGGGCATGATATTTAAAGGATTTTGTTTTCTTACTTTAAGCAATGAAAAATGACTGCCCTTTTAAAAATGGTACTTTTTGAAAAAACAAATTTCACTGATTCACGTCCCTCAGTGCAGTACCCGCATCCCCATACCCCTTTTATGGCCAGTAACTTGCATATGAGCCTTCAAAATGGGCACTGTTGAATTTACAAATTTGAGTCCCATAGTTTTGCATTGAGTTCGAAGTTCGCATTCGAACTTTCATTGGGTTTGAATGTTCAACCACAAAATAAACGGGGGTGTTCAGCCCATCACTAATATTAACTCGTTCTTGTATGCTGAGGAGGCTGTAGTGCAACTGGAGCAATGAGTAATGTAAGTATTTACTGCTTAATCCACTGTCCCTAGGCTAAAGCAATTAACCCTTGCAGTGTGGGGGTGCCCACCCCAAGAGTGACATTTTTAATTTTCCTGTAGTTGGGCTTTAAGAATGTATCAGAAAGACTGGAGAAAGTAGGAGTTTTAGAAAAGGAAAGGGGGGTGAGCTGACTTGAAGGTGAAAGTCAAAGTTACCAGAGTGGAAAAGAGAAGATTGTGTGCAGGATACAGAGGGTTCTAACCTGTTTTGTAGTATTTTCCTTGTACATTTTTTTTTTTGTTTTTTTTTAAGTCTAGATATACTTTGATTGCAGGTGGTTGATCTGGAACCAGTGAATGGTGATATCACAAAGGAAGTGTACGAGCCTCAGCTTGTAAATGCACAAGAAATAGCAACAGAAGCTTTGGATACGGAGTCCAATTTAGAACCTGGTGATAGTGATGGAAAATCTCTCACTACTCTCGTTTCGGTCAACATGGACTTAGAAAAATCATTTGAAGACTCCTTTCCAGACCAGGTAGCTAGAGTCAATGTGCTATTTACAATCCAATTTATGAAAGATTGTTTTACAGTATATGACGGATAATGTGTAAGGCTTAAAAAAACTTTAAAACCTGACAAGTGTCCTGCTTTTTAACATACAGTTTATCCAGTAATGTAAATTATTTCTGTTATAAGAAAGCAATTTCTGTAATATAATGTTGATAATGTTTGGATTCTCTTCGCTTTATTAATTTGTACATTTGATGATTGAACAACCACAATAAAACAAACTAACACTGTTGTGGCCAGGAGTCAAGGATTATCTGTTTTGGGGAGATCTGCCTGCTAGCTACACTTATATGGTCCCAAGGCAGAGGCAATGCCCTAAGTGCAAATATATACAAATATAGTATATATTTATCAGATAAACATTACATAGTTATATTTTACATTAAAATTTTAAGTAGAACTAGCATAAATGTATGAATTTTTTCTGATACTAGACGCCTATATTCCCCATGCACAGTAGCACTTACTGTGGTAGAGAGAGGGGCAGCACTGTGCACCAGTCAGGACTCTGCTGCTGTATATACATTGCTGCCAGTCAGCAATTTAAATATATTCAAGATATGGTGGCCAAGCATGCAGGAGAAGAGAACAGCATGATGACTTCATCAGTTTGCTGTTTCTTCCCCAATCTTTAAACGCTAAATTCACATGCTATATAAACTGGCCCATGCAGACAAGGTGCTCCAGTAGTTAAAAATACTGTGCTATTTGTAAAATGATTGTTTAATACAAGTCCTGTATCTATAGGCCTTTTCTGTCACCCATGAAGCCTAGCTGAATTACTCCCAGTGTTTACATTCTTACATCCTTGCTTATTTACTGGAGATGAGCTGAAGGGAAAATGACCCCTGAGCCTCTTTTTTCAGAATAACTAAAGTGATAATCTCTTTATCACTTATGACTAGAATTCTCTATTACTTAGAACAACCATTCTCAACCAGGTTTTCCTGGAACCCTAGGTTTCCTCCAAAGCTTGAGCTGTGGTTAATTGACCTACCGTCTGATGATGCCTTTATATTTCCAGGTCCATTGCTACTTGGCCAAGCTTGTAGCAAGACCCCAGTGATCTTTTCAGCTGATTTTAAAGATGGCATTCATCCCACTGACCAACAATCTAAGGGGCATTATTCCCACTGAACCGATGATATGATTTTAGTAGGCGTTCCCTAAGACCTGAATATTATTTCAAGGGTTCTTCTGGGGTAAATAGGTTGAGAAATGCTGACTTAGAATATGAGATGGAAAGGGTCTAGAGCAGTGAATCCTGGTAAGGATGTGCAACTGAAAAGTCTTTGTTGAGACTTTTTGAACCAGGAAGCTTACTCTCTCCTGTGATGCTGAGGGCAAGCGCCCAATATCTGCCATGTTCTTGAAATAGGTTAGGATGTAGAAATGTAAATATTGGGAGTATTTTGGCCAGGCTTCATGGATGATAGAAAAGTCCTACAGGAATTCCATTTGCATTAAAAAATATTTTTACAAATGGCACTGTGTATTTTAAACTACACCTTGCTTGCTTGGGGGTGGGCCAGTTTATGTAAAAAGGTGAACTTAGTCTTTATTAACAAGCTGGAGCAGGTTGGTGATCAAGTTCTATTATTAAATAAAAGTGAGGTCAGAGTGGCTGTGCTGTCTGGCAATGGTTCCTAGATTTCAAGACCAGACCAGTTAAGCATAATTACGCATAAAAGTTTTTTAACAAGTAAACATACAGTGGATATAAAAAGTCTACACACCCCTGTTAAAATGTCAGGTTTCTGTGATGTAAAAAAATGAGAGAAAGATAAATCATTTCAAAACTTTTTCCACCTTTAATGTGACCTAAAAACTGTACAACTCAGTTGAAAAACAAACTGAAATCTTTTAGGGGAGGGAAGTAAACATAAAAAACTAAAATAATGTGGTTGCATAAGTGTGCACACCATCTTATAGCTGGGGATGTAGCTGTGTTAAGAGTTAAGCAATCACATTCAAAATCATGTTAAATAGGAGTCACTACACATCTGCCACCATTTAAAGTGCTTCTGATTAACCCCAAATAAAGTTCAGCTGTTCCAGTAGGTCTTTCCTGACATTTTCTTAGTTGCATCCTACAGCAAAAGCCATGGTCTGCAGAGAGCTTCCAAAGCATCAGAGGGATCTCATTGTTAAAAGGTATCAATCAGGAGAAGGGTACAAAAGAATTTCCGAGGCGTTAGATATACCATGAAACACAGTGAAGACAGCCATTATTAAGTGGAGAAAATATGGCGCAACAGTGACATTACCAAGAATTGGATGTCCTTCAAAATTGATGAAAAGACGAGAAAAAAACTGGTGTGTAAGTGCTGCTAAGAGGCCTACAGCAAAATTAAAGGGGCTACAGGAATATCTGGCAAGTACTGGCTGTGTGGAACATGTGACAATATTCTCCTGTATTCTTCATATGTCTGGGCTATGGGGTAGAGTGGCAAGACGGAAGCCTTTTCTTACGAAGAAAAACATCCAAGCCCGGCTACATTTTGCAAAAACAAATCTGAAGTCTCCCAAAAGCATGTGGGAAAATGTGTTATGGTCTGATGAAACCAAGGTTGAACTTTTTTGCCATAATTCCAAAAGCTATGTTTAGCTCAAAAACAATACACATCACCAAAAAAAAACACCATACCCACAGTGAAGCATGGTGGCAGCATTATGCTTTGGGGCTGTTTTTCTTCAGCTGGAACTGTAGCCTTAGTCAAGATAGAGGGAATTATGAACAGTTCCAAATACCAGTCAATATTGGAACAAAACCTTCAGGCTTCTGCTAGAAAGCTGAACATGAAGAGGAACTTCATCTTTCAGCATAAAGACCCAAAGCATACATCCAAATCCACAAAGGAATGGCTTCACCAGAAGAAGATGAAGGTTTTGGAATGGCCCAGCCAGAGCCCAGACCTCACTCCAATCGAAAATCTGTGGGGTGCTCTGAAGAGGGCTGTGCACAGGAGATGCCCTCGCAATCTGACAGATTTGGAGTGTTTTTGCAAGGAAGAGTGGGCAAATATTGAAAAGTCAAGATGTGCCATGCTGATAGACTCATACTCTAAAAGACTGAGCGCTGTAATAAAATCAAAAGGTGCTTCAACAAAGTATTATTATTATACAGGATTTATGTAGTGCCAACAGTTTGCTCAGCACTTTACAATATAACGGGAGACAATACAGCAACAATACAGTTCAATACAAGAGGGAAAGGAGGGCCCTGCTCCTTGGAGCTTACAATCAAGGAAAGTATTAGTTTAAGGGTGTGCACATTTACACAACCATATTTTTTTAGTTTTTTATTTTTACTTCTCTCCACCTAAAAGATTTCAGTTTATTGTTCAACTGAGTTGCACATTTAATAGATTACATTAAAGGTGGAAAAAGTTCTGAAATAATTTATCTTTGTCTTATTTTTTTACATCACCGAAACCTGACATTTTAACAGGGGTGTGTACTTTTTATATCAGCTGTATACAGTTGCAAGAAAAAGTATGTGAACCCCTTGGGATTACGTGGAGTTTTGCATGAATTGGGCATAAAATGTGCTCTGAACGTCATCTTAGTCACAACAATAGAAGAACACAGTCTGCTGAACATAATACTACACAAACATTAGATGTTGCCATGGTTTAATTGCACATAACATGTAAACATTCACAGTGCAGGGAGGAAAAAGTATGTGAACCTTTGGACTTAATAACTGGTTGACCCTCCTTTGGCAGCAATAACCTCAACCAAACGTTTCCTGTAGTTGCAGATCAGACCTGCACAATGATCTCTGAGTAATTTTGGACCACTCCTCTTCACAAAACTGTTTCAGTGTAGCAATATTCTTGGGATGTCTGGTGTGAATCGCTCTCTTAAGGTCATTCCACAGCATTTCAATCGGTTTGAGGTCAGGACTCTGACTGGGCCACTCCAGAAGGCGTATTCTGTGCTGTTGCAGCCATTGTTTTGTTGAATTACTTGTATGCTTTGGGTCATTGTCCTGTTGCATCATCCATCCTCTGCGGAGCTTCATTGGCGGACAGATGGTCATACGTTTTCCTGCAAAATGTCTTGATAAACTCTGGAATTCATTTTCCCATCAATGACAACAATCTGTCCAGGCCCTGAGGCAGCAAAGCAGCCCCAAACCATGATGCTCCCTCCGCCATGTTTTACAGTGGGGATGAGGTTTTGATGTTGGTGTGCTGTGCCTTTTTTTCTCTACACATAGTGTTGTGTGTTCTTCCCAAACAACTCAATCTTGGTTTCATCTGTCCACAGTATATTTTGCCAGTAGTGCTGTGGAACATCCAGGTGCTCTTTTGCAAACTTCAAACGTGCTGCAATTATGTTTTTGGACAGCAATGGCTTCCTCCGTGGTGTCCTCCCATGTACTTCATTCTTGTTTAATGTTTTCCTTATTGTAGATGTGTCAACAAAAATGTTAGCATGTGCCAGAGATTTCTGTAGGTCTTTAGCTGATACTATTCTTCTTTACCTCATGCAGCATTCTGCGCTGTGCTCTTGCAGTCATTTTTACAGGACGACCACGCCTAGGGAGAGTAGCAACAGTCCTAAACTTTCTCCATTTGTAGACAGTCTGTCTTACCGTGGACACATGAACATCAAGGCTTTTGGAGATACTTTTGTAACCCTTTCCAGCTTCATGCAAATCAGCAATTCTTGATCGTAGGTCTTCTGAGAACTCTTTTCTGCGAGGCATGGTTCACATCAGACAGTGCTTCTTGAAACCAGTAAACCCAAAAACAGGTGTGTGTTTTTTAAGGGCAGGACAGCTGTCAGCAACACATCCAATATCATCACACTGATTGGAGTCAAGGTTGGCTCACTCCTGGCTCCAATTAGTTCTGGGAGAAGTCATTAAGCTAGGGCCTCACATACTTTTTCCTCCCTGCACTGTGAATGTTTACATGTTATGTGCAATTAAACCATGGCAACATCTAATGTTTGTGTAGAATTATGTTCAGCAGACTGTGTTCTTCTATTGTTGTGACTTAGATGACGTTTCAGAGCACATTTTATGCCCAATTCATGCAAAACTCCACGTAATCCCAAGGGGTTTCACATACTTTTTCTTGCAACTGTATGTGTTTCAACTGTATGATTCTGTCAAACTTTAGTTTAGATTGCTGGTGGTTACACCATATGGGCTAAAACCGATCAGAATGAATAAAGTCTTTATACTATAAGTAAATGGTCATTTCTGTAGCTGAATGAAGTGAGAGTGATATAAACATTTTACTTGTCTTAATAATTATTTTTGCCTTGAGCACTTTGAAGCAAACAGGTCTGGATTTCGGACTAAATGAGCCCTATGCAAGATAACTACTTTGGACCTCCGTCTTCTCCATCAGCTTAACTAGATACTACAAACATGAACACATTCCAGAGTTTAGTCTTGCAAAAGAAAATGAACAGAATTCATCTTTCAGAAAAGCAATAGAATTTGATAAAATGTCCAAAATCCCAGTTCTCCATACGTATTACTTTAATGGCATTTGGGTCATGTATTGAAATATTAAATGCAGACCTGATAGGAGTTTTAACCTCACAATTAGTAACCATAAGTGATGGGCATTAATATGGTTATAGGCGTCTAATCACACACAGTGCATAACTGATATCCACACACTCAATTAAAGCACTTTTTTTAAGCTGTATTCATGATTTTAATTTTGACATGAGAAATACTGACACACCATCTCTCTTGGTTTTAGAAATTTAAAGTGGTAGTAAAGTCTTTTGTTTAAGCTGTACCTACAGGTAAGCCTATAATAAGGCTTACCTGTAGGTGCTGCGAATATCTCCTAAACTTGCACTGTTTTGGAGATATTCACACAGCATGCAGCTGGTGACATCACTAGCGCATGAGCTCTAAAGGAACATCATAGCCGTGCCAGACCTTCAGATCCCATGCTGAAGATGAAAGCACCAATGCATATGTGCAGGAGTGATGTCATTGCGGCCCCAGCCGTTCATACAACCTGAACCCAGAAGGAAGACTAGGTAAAGATGGCAGAGCCAGGGAGCCGTGACAGTGCTGCGCTGGAGGGCTCTGTGTAAAGGTAAGTCTGTCATAATGTACTAGAGTGCATACTAGTACATTATGACCTAAACCTGCAGGATCCCATTGTTTGTTTTTTCTGGCGGTTTACTACCGCTTTAAAACTAAACTTAAAACCACGAGATTTGACCCAAAAAGAAAATGAGGTTCTGTGGAGATATATCTAGATCTATAAAAATATTTTGTAATAAATTAATAAACTATCTCTTGGTTTTAGATGTTAAAGTAGAATTCCGTTCAAACCGTAACTACTTATAAAAAATTCTCCTTGGCCTTGGAGCTCATGGTCCAGTCATGTGATCTCACCTTGGCAGCTGCAGGAATAGAGTGCTCAACAATGGTTGGTAATGCCTGAGTGGTGACATGACCCATAGGTTTAATATGGCTTATCTGTTGCTGGTGCTGCCTCCACTGTTCTCTACTCCATTGCTGTTAACGATATTCGTTGTGATACTCAAATCACTGATTGTCACTAAATTTGATAGTTTAATGCATTTGCCATCTCTTCGTAAGCTTATTATATTGAACTGCTGTACACCATGTATATTTAGCTGCACCTTTCCCATTGCGCTCACCTTTTCTTGTAGTCTCTAGGCAATTAGAGATGATCATGAATCTCTGGCTCTAGTAACCAGGAATGTGAAGTCTTGCCAAAAGATAGTGGTGTAACACTAGTGTATTTTGCCCATATAGGAAGAACAACATAGTTTGAGGCACATTTAAATGATAAGAAATTCTGCATGGGTGGTTAATTCTACCTAATCTCATTGGGTTTGCCTAGGCCACTTTATTGGTAATCCATCTTTGGAAGTTATGGACCAGCAGACTAGGTACAAGGAAGCAGAAAAAGATTATTGCACCTTTTGGCAGAGTTCTTCAAAACAAGAGAAATGACTTGTGACATCTACCATTTTCACTTGTTTAATTGTCCTGTTTAATTGTCCACAGGTCCTTAATCCAGAAGATCTGGAGACCACAACACATGAAAATGTAATAACTGTGATGGAACAGACAGAAATACAAGAAGAGGAATTCAAAGAGAGAATCATAGAGAAACCAAGTGAATCATGTGTAGCAGGAGAAAATGAGGACTTAACAGGTAATGGTCTACCTGGATACACAGAAAGTAATTCTGCAGAAGAGTGTGCTACATCTGATGATGCTTTGACCCTAGAGACTGCCTCCATAGAAGAAACAACAGTCAATGTCACAGCAGATACTCTTCTCCGACAAGGCCCTCTGCTTGTGGTGGAACTACAAGATGTGGCTTTCCAGCAGCAGTCTGATGGACAGAGAAGTGTTTCTGGAGACCAGTCTGAAGGGTCTGTAGAGACAGATCGGTCTCTGCGGAAATCTGTGGAGAGAGGTGGGGATAGCAGCTCAGAGGAAATGGAAACAGAGATTCCTGTTAAGACAGAAGAGAAGGATTACGCAGAAAGGCAAGGGCATACAAAGGACCTGCTAAGAGAAGAGCCAAGCTGTCAGCTTAGGTGATGGCAGCCTACAACCTTCATGTTAACCACACAGTATTTGTAAAGCAGGATAATTTAGCATTTTTTTAAAGTTCTAAAAGGTTGTGCAACATAGATTTCAGACATTTGTAACTGTTCAATTTTAAAGTTTTCTGGTTGGTGTTATTTTTTTCTATTTGTGTTTTTTGTGTGTTTTTACTGAGTTTAACAAGTTTCCTTACTTCTTACACATACATACTGTAGCCTTTAAGTTAAGATAATATAGGAAAAGCACAAATGTTATTACACCCAGGTCAGGAAGAAATATTAATGGAAAGGTTTTGCAGTTTTAAGAACAAGTAAAGCCGCTTTTGGATATATTTCATAGCTTGTGTATTATTCAGGCAACATTATATTATAGTCTATAAGGACTCTGGAACTATCTCTTCAACAGTATACTCTTCTGATGAGGAGGTTCAACATGGGGTGCTGCATGGTCTCCATATTATATGATATATAGTATGTGCACAAGTGCATGTCTCCTGCACTAGATCATGTAAGTATAGGAACTGCACAGTGCCATAAGGCTAAGTGTAGCCCCTAGCGCCTGTCTGAAAAGCAGTCTGTAGGGGTGTTTGACAGACAGTAAGGAAGTAATATGTTGCCTCCCCACCTGTTTTAACTCTGTAAATGCTGCAACTGCAGAGCGGTTGTGGCATGACCCCATTCATTTGATTGGGTCGCATTCAGTAGCATTACTGCTCTCTGAATACAAGGGTTATATTTTTTTGTGGCTGCGAAGTGAAGCATTACATATGCTGCATGTGTATGTTGTGCAGTGTTTGACAGCAGATCTCTGCCCCCTGCCTTCAAAACCTCAGAAATGCTGTGTAAAATGTGTGTTTTAGGAGGCTGTAGAGAAGAGGGCTGCAGATAAACAGGTACAACATATGTAGGAACATTTATTTCATCACTGTGTATCACCTGAGGCTTATCACTTCAGTGGGTATACACTGTGTGCGCAATTATTAGGTTGTATTTTGAAAATTAATTTCATTATTGAACTACAGTGCTCTTGGTCAATCCAAAATGTTAATAAACCTCACACCTGAATATTTTATAAAGGCAAAAGTGAGGTTTGGGCTTTCTTAGGAGAGTTCAGAGTGTGTCCTGTTTTCCTTCACCATAAATCTGTTGAAGGTCCCACAAGTTCTCAATAAGGTTTAAGTCAGGTGAGGAAGGGGGTATGTCATTATTCTTTCATCTTTAAGGCCTTTACTGGCTAGCTACGCAGTAGAGTACTTTGATGCATGCGATGGAGCAGTGCCCTGCATAAATATCATGGTCTTTAAAGATGCAGACTTTTGCCTGTACCACTTCTTGAAGAAAGTGTCTTCTAAAAACTGGCAGTAGGTTTGGGAGTTGATTTTGACTCCATCTTCAACCTGAAAAGGTCCAACTAGCTCATTTTTAATAATACCAGCACCTCGCCTCCACTTTGCTCGCGGTTGAGTCGAAGTTGAGCTCTGTGTCCATTACTGATCCAGCCACGGGCCCATCCACTTGGTTCGTCAAGAGTCACTCTCATCTCATCAGTCCATAAAACGTTTGAAAAATCTGTCTTGATATCTCTTGGCCCAGTCTTGACGTTTCAATTTATATCTTGTTCAGTGATTGTCAAGTTTCAGCCTTCCTTACCATGGCCAAGTCTCTAAACACTGAACACCTTGTACTTCTGGGCACTCCATGTAGGTTGCAGTTCTGGAATATGACAGCACTAGAGTATAATGGGTTCCTGGTAGCTGCACGTTTGATTCTTCTCAAATCTTTGCCAGTTAATGTGTCTTTTTTTTCTCTCTACACATTTCTTGCGAACCTGTTGATTATTTGCAAAAAAAAGCATTTGATGGTTCTGTGATCACGCCCCAATATCTTAAGAGTGCTGAATTCCTCTGAAAGACTTTTTACAATGTTTTACTTTTCAAAGTCAGTTAAATATCTTTTTTGGCCAATTTTTCCTGAGGAAAAGAAACTGCCTAATAATTATGCACACCTTGATATAGGGTGTTGATCTCCTTAGGGCACACCCTCCCCTCCTTACACAAATACACATCACCTGAAATGCTTAAATCCAATAAGCATTCAAGTCTATACAGCGTGGAGTTGGACAATATGCATAAAAATTATGGATTTGGCCAAAATACTCACGTGACTAATAATTGCACACACAGTAAATGCAAGGGCCACTTTAGGAATCGCCAGTTGACCTGATTTGTGAATTGTTTCACTCATCTGTATTCAATTTCAGCATGTACACTTGCATGGTTAACTTAGTGTCTACTCTACATAACAGGAGCAGGTAGGATTCTGGTATGTAGGAAAGTTTGCATTGCTCCCCATTTATGTACTATACAGCTTTATGTATGTCCACACAAAAGTGTTGGAAGCAATGTCAGGTTTTACTGCTATCTGGTGCTCCACTCACTTGATTTCCCCTCAGTTCCTGTCCTGGTGACAACAGTTGCACTAGACAGGAGGTAAGGGTAAAACTTTATCAGCAACAGACAGTAAAAGTCTATTTAAAAGAGCAGGGGAAGGCTATAACCCTCTTCAGCATTTTATTAATGCCTGCTACCTTTTTGCAGATTTCCCCTTGCTTCCTCTCCTGTAAAAATGTTGTCACTGGGCAAGAACCTGAGGGTAAATCTCTCTATTGGTGCCCCAGATAGCAGTAAATACCAGACGAGTTCTTTTCCTTCTCCACTCTATCCAAACCAGGGGAAAAAAAAAGTTTTAGGTGCCATGCACTTTTATGGTTTACTTTCTAGTCAGAAAAATAAAAAAAAACACATATAAATAACATAAATGAACAGGTCAGTCTGGTGATTTAATTACGGACCCCTAGCTCTCTCCAACTTTTGTTGTCCTATCTCCTGCCTAACATAGTTAATTGTTATGGCTCCACTTCTCATGATGTATTTTCCTTGAAAATAAATCCTAATAAAACTTTAAGAGAACTTATTAGTAATTGTTGTAGCATTTGTAAGGACCTGAAGGAAGGGGAGCAGGTTACAAACCCTGTATAAACTCTGAAACCCCCAAAGTCCACACAGCAAACCTGACAGTAGGGACAATAAGTGCAAGATGGGGAAAGTGGAGGGGGTCATTTAAATAACAGTACTAAAAGTACAACTAGGCCCCTTTCACATGGGCTTTGCATTTCTATGGGCAAACAGATGATCATCTTTACAACAGTTCACATCCATTTTCTTTAAAATGGCAGGTCAGGAGCTCTGACATTGCATGCTAGATACCTTTTCTGGTTAGTGACTCAGTACTGAAGCCAGAAATCTAGCATTTTCAGGTCAGAAATAGCTGCCCCCATACTTCTCTCATTACAGCTGTCCTTTAAAAGTGCATGTCCAAGAAGGGTGATCAATATTGTCTTTTCTGGCCCCTGTTGCACATCCAAACTGAGTGGTTAACACTGATGTTTAACCAATTCAATACCGGGCAATTTTACACCTTCCTGCCCAGGCTAGTTTTCAGCGCTCTCACACTTTGAATGACAATTGCGCGGTCATACAACATTTTACCAAAACTAAAATTTTATAATTTTCTTCACACAACTAGAGCTTTATTTTGGTGGTATTTAATCACCGCTGGGGTTTTTATTTTTTGCTAAATTAACAAAAAAAGACCATTTTGAAAAAAAAAAAAAAAAAAACACGTTTTTCTTTGTTTCTGTTATAAACGTTTGCAAATAAATAATTGTTCTTCATAAATTTAGGCCAAGATGTATTCTGCTACATGTCTTTGGTGAAAATAACCCAAATTAGGATGTATTTTTTAGTTTGTAGGAAAGTTATAGAGTTCACAAACTATGGTATAGATCTGAATATTGATCAATCCTGAAGTACTGACAGCCAATCTAATTTCTTGAGGTCCAAGAATGTCAGAACAGTACAGATATCTCCCAAATGACCCCTTTTTGCAAAGTAGACAGTCCCACATACTTCATAAGAGGCATGGCGAGTTTTTTGAAGTTGTATTTTTTTTGTCATAATTTTTCAGAAAAAGAAAAAATTAAAAAAATTAGTTTCACTATTTTTTTTTTTTTTACATATTGTCACCAGTGCAGTACAGCATCATCATATAACTGGCATGGCGGTGAACAGGGACACTGACTGGTGACAGTATGAAAATATATATATTTTTTTTTTTTTATTCATTTTTTTTTCTTTTTTTAAAGATTTTTTTTCATATTTCACTATGACCAAAGTAGTACAATGTACCATAGAAACATTGTACTACTTTGGGGAAGTGATTTTTTTTTTTTACACAATTTGCTTATAGCAAAAAATTACTTTGCTATAAGCAAGCATTTACCTGAATGACATGGATTCATTCAGGGTTTGTTTGTTTTTTTTTGTGCTTAGCTGTGATTTGGCCACAGCTAATCACATGACATGTGCATGTGATTAGCTGTGACCATTCACAGCTAGACACTAGTATACAATGGATGGCATGAATGAAGCCATCTATTGTATACAACTGTCATGTGACCTGCTGTGATTGGTCACAGCAGGTCACATGGTACCGGCAACGGGGGCCGATACTCAGATCTGTCATCGGCCGTGTCCGAGGTACACGGCCAGTGACAGATTGCGCGGCTCTGCAGGAGCGCAATCTGCGCATGTGCGGGAGGACGCCATATGGCGTCCACCCGGAACGCTGATGACATTTGACGGCCACCATTCGGCCATAGGGCGGGTGGCAAATGGTTAAAGGAAAAGCACAGTCAAAGCTCTTTTGGCTGTACTTCTCCTGTGGATCACTCCCGTGACCCGTTCTCAGCTGACAGTGGGTTCGCAGTGAGCTGACGTCACTCAGCCGGTCCAGGCTGGGGAAAGATCCCAACTTTAAAGTCAGTTAAAACATTCACAGCCAATCTCGGGAGCTTACTCCCCTCCCCCCCCAGCAGCCTCTTTGCTGAGGAGGCACTCTTAGGAAGGAGCAGAGATTGGCAATCAGAAG